GTACACTCTGATGTAAATTTCTCTCCAAAATATCTTTTTATATGCTCCGTTCATTCTCCTTTCTATCATTTCAATGTTCCCTACAACTTAGGCACTAAAGCAACCTCAAATCCTGATTTATCCACCTCCAAATTTTACTGTTGGGATAGTATTCTTCAGCAAATATTCAGTATCCTTCTTTCCCCAGATCTTTGCCACAGCAGTTCTGCTAAAAAGTTCAATTTTCATTTCGTCTGACCAAAGTACATTTTCCCAAATGCTGCAGGTTTGATACAATACAACTTAGGCACTAAAGCAACCTCAAATCCTGATTTATCCACCTCCAAATTTTACTGTTGGGATAGTATTCTTCAGCAAATATTCAGTATCCTTCTTTCCCCAGATCTTTGCCACAGCAGTTCTGCTAAAAAGTTCAATTTTCATTTCGTCTGACCAAAGTACATTTTCCCAAATGCTGCAGGTTTGATACAATACAACAGGCACTAAAAGCAACCTCAAATCCTGATTTATCCACCTCCAAATTTTACTGTTGGGATAGTATTCTTCAGCAAATATTCAGTATCCTTCTTTCCCCAGATCTTTGCCACAGCAGTTCTGCTAAAAGTTCAATTTTCATTTCTGACCAAAGTACATTTTCCCAAATGCTGCAGGTTTGATACAATACAACTTAGGCACTAAAGCAACCTCAAATCCTGATTTATCCACCTCCAAATTTTTACTGTTGGGATAGTATTCTTCAGCAAATATTCAGTATCCTTCTTTCCCCAGATCTTTGCCACAGCAGTTCTGCTAAAAGTTCAATTTTCATTTCGTCTGACCAAAGTACATTTTCCCAAATGCTGCAGGTTTGATACAATACAAATCCTAGGCACTAAAGCAACCTCAAATCCTGATTTATCCACCTCCAAATTTTACTGTTGGGATAGTATTCTTCAGCAAATATTCAGTATCCTTCTTTCCCCCAGATCTTTGCCACAGCAGTTCTGCTAAAAAGTTCAATTTTCATTTCGTCTGACCAAAGTACATTTTCCCAAATGCTGCAGGTTTGATACAATACAACTTAGGCACTAAAGCAACCTCAAATCCTGATTTATCCACCTCCAAATTTTACTGTTGGGATAGTATTCTTCAGCAAATATTCAGTATCCTTCTTTCCCCAGATCTTTGCCACAGCAGTTCTGCTAAAAAGTTCAATTTTCATTTCGTCTGACCAAAGTACATTTTCCCAAATGCTGCAGGTTTGATACAATACTCATTTGCAAAATCCAATCTAGCAAGAATGTGTTTTTGCTTAAGAAGTGTTTTTTTTTCTTTGAGTCCTTGAAAAGATGTCATATCGACAAAATGAACAACTAATTGTATCCATACTCATTTTTATTCCACTTAGTTCTCCTTGAAGTTCTTCCAGCGCAACTTTGGGCTTGTTGCCAACTTTTCTTGCCAATAATCTTGCTGTATGTTCTGTTACCTTTCTAAGATGACCAGAGCTTTTTAAGGGTCAAATGGAATGACACGTCTTCCAGTGACGAACTATCATATCAACTGGATTCAATGGCACATTTAACTAACTAGATATCTTCCTATAACCAAGTCTATTTGTATGAAGTCTCAACAATACATTTAAGAAGGTCTTGACCAATTATTTTGCTTTAAATACCTAAAAACACATTTTTCGTAATGTGCCGTAAATTTTTGCATAACACTGTATGACGCTTTAGTCCAACCTAAGTCTTGAACTGTCCATCTTTCAATGTCACCAGCTGAAATACACCTTTATGTATTTTGGAATGTCTGGTTACATATATATTATTATTTTGAACATTATTTCATATTTAAAATAAACGCCCTATTTTCATTTATTAAACAGTATGTGTTATGTCTATCGGTCAGCACGTTAGACAAATCTTAATAAAGCAAATAGCATTCTCCAGCAGGGATCAAACATGCATTCCTCTCTGTAGGCAAAAATCACCATTTGGTCCAGTGCACTTTAATGTTTGGCCATGAGAAACAGCATTGCATCATTAAATATTGTTTTTTTTTTTTTGTGGGATATTTTTATCAACTACAGGTGGATGGGCTAACCTAGAAAACACTTATCTCAGGTTGAGATAACATTTAAATCTTGACTGGAGTGTTCCGGCCTGGATACACTTAAACCCAATGATCGAGATAATATTGTAAAGTATATGGACAATAGATGTAGATTTCTAAGTAGATATTAAAACTATGCAGAAAGTAACTGCTGTACAGTCAGAGAGTTGTTTTTATGAAGCAATTTCAAGTGGTCAAGATTGATGAAAAACATCTGTTTCGTTCAGGCTTAAAACAGGACGCTGATCTGGATAATAATTTTTCACATGAAAGAAAGAAAAATATTTTTTATCTTTTTCTGGAGATTTGATTTCGCCATAAAATAAATCCATGCAGCCATTTCTTGATGCTTTTGGTGGTGTCGAGTAAAAAATGAAATAATTTAAAGTCTGTGAAGAGCATTTTACTATAGTTGTGATGGTTAGCTTTTAGTTAAGGTTCAGACTGACCCTTGTTACAGTCCCAAAAAAGGAATTGGTCAACTGGATCAAGTGACACTCCAAAGAGAGTAGTAACAGGATGTTTCTAAGGAAGTTGGAGAAAGAAGAAGAGGTGGCAGCTATGAGTGGAAGTCAGAGATGCCAAAGAAGGCAAGTTGGAGTTTGATAGGTGGATTAACTCTCTCACTGACACTAAGAGCTGCATAATTGCCCAAATGATTTTTGTAGTGATGTTATAACATGCATATGTTATAATTTTGAATGGAGAACAAAAAAATATATTCATACAATGGCAGAAACAGATAGACTACTCATGGGCACACACACAGGCACAGGAAAAGTGAGTGTGTGTGTGTGTGTGTGTAGGGGTATGTATGTATATGTTTGTATACATGTGCATGTTGATTCCTTATTATATGACAGTATGTATATATGAGGAGGGAATGCAGGTGAACAGGAACATGCACACACACAGGGATAGGAAGACATCTCTCATCAAACATCTATCACCCCACCCCCACCTCTCATACCAAACCTAATGGTTTTATTAACACTTAGGCAGAAATTCATTTTTGCCAACAGTCCAAAAAAAAGTTCAAGCTCACTAACAAATACAGAAAATTAACAATGAGACATTAAAAAAACATAAGAAAAATTTATTCCTTTTATTTGCCTGAAGAAGGTCACGAGACTGGAAACGTGTGTAGCAGAAATATGAAGAATAAAATATAATATATATACTAAAACAAATCCACATTATAAACAAAAACGTTTGTGGTTTCTCTCTTTTTAAAGTCATATATATATATATATATATATATATATATATGACACACACACACACACACATATATATATATATATATATATATGACACACACACACACACACACATATATATATATATATATATATATACACACACACACATATATATATATATGACACACACACACACATATATATATATATATATATGACACACACACACACACATATATATATACACACACACACACATATATATATATATATATATGACACACACACACACATATATATATATATATATATATATATATATATATATATATATATGACACACACACACATATATATATGACACACACACACACACATATATATATATATATATATATGACACACACACATATATATATATATATATATGACATATATATATATATGACACATACACATATATATATATATATATATACACACACATATATATATATATATGACACACACACACATATATATATATATATGACACACACACACACATATATATATGACACACACACACATATATATATGACACACACACACACACATATATATATGACACACACACACACATATATATATGACACACACACACACATATATATATGACACACACACACACATATATAAGTGAACATTGAAGTCAACACTCAGAGGTGACAGGCTGTTTCAGGCTAGACGCAATCGTCACACCACATGAAACAGCCTGTTGCCTCTGAGTATTGACTTCAATGTTCACTTTTATATTTATATTTACATATGCACTATCTCTGATATTGAGCACTTTATCCCATAAATATAGCCCACCTTAAAACTATATTTCTTTATTTATATATATATATATACACACACACACATATGTGTTATGTATGTATGTATGTATGTGCACATGCAGATATATGATGGCAGTATATATGTCAAACATAACTATTTCTAACACATTAGCTTATATATATATATATATATATATATATATATATTGTGATGCTAGTTTGAACATTCAAGGAATTGATATATCTGTATAATCAATACAATAAGAAACCATTTTAAGTTATTGTAATTTTTGTCTTTACATCATATATTACTGTCTCATTCTTTTTAATTATTTTACCCCAAGTAAGGCAATAAAGTAACTAAAACACAAATGGTTACTGAGTATTAGAGAATATGAGAAAAATAAACACTATTAAGGAGAGAAAACAATAAAAGAACAAGAATTAAGAAGACAGTAGATAATGAAGGACATTGCTTTTAAATTTTTGATGATCAAAGCCAACTGGGAAGCAAGAAGCTGAAAAAGAGTTTATGGTATATGAATCTATGAGAAAGAGTTATAGCTGTATATCATATATAAGAATGTTTTTGGTTAGTTTCAGAGACATCTCCTAGAAGAAATAACTATGTAAATAAAATGCAGTTTACTTGTTCTTGTAAACCAACAAGGATGCTTTATGAGTTACTGTCACTCTTTAAGCCGTAAAATTGTCCCATAAATAACATTACAAATTATATGTCATATTTACAAAATATCACTGGTCATGTTCTGCAATGATTACTCGCTATATCTACAAAGCAAAGCAACAAAAAAAAAAAAAAAAAAAAGTAAAGACAACTGTTACTTTGCATTTTCTAAGTTTGAAATTGTTAGGTACTCACCTCTGAAGCTGTGTGCAGAAGCTGTATGCGGCCATCAGTCATTGTCATCAAACGAATGCCCATTCGACCCAGAATCTCAAGCTGTTCCTTATTACCAGCCATAAAGTCAATGGCCCGAAATCGACGTCGATTACTGTAAACAAACAAAAAAAAAAAAAATGTTACAAAGTTCAGAGTATTATTTTAATATATATTTTAAGACATTTTTATGTTTAACATTCTTTTTATAGATACAAATATTTAAGTAAATGCTCTGTTTATAATAAACAGTATTAAATAACATTTACCAGCCTGAATGTCCGAGAAATTTTCATAGAAAATATTCGTCCTCCGACAGGATTCGAACCTGCATCCTATATGGAACCGTCATATAGCCTGACGTGCTTTTACCGATTTCGCTGTGAAAATTTCTGACATTCAGGCTGGTAAATGTTATTTAATATTGTTTATTATAAACAGAGCATTTACTTAAATATTTGTATCTATAAAAAGAATGTTAAACATAAAAATGTCTTAAAATAATTGTCAGACTTTGTCCATTTCATAATATATATATATATATATATATATATATATATATATATATATATTTTTATCCCTATAAACATCATCCCATTTTTTTTTTTTTAGTTTTTTTAAACAGTGAAATTAATATCAACTGGCCTAGATATAGAACAAAATGTGCCTTCCAACAGGAACTGAACTTGTATACCATTTTTCCATTGGGAAACCACTCTAATAGCCAAGTATGCTATTGCCAATTAGGCTACTGGAGACTATCATAAGGCAAGGCTCAATTACCTACTTACGGAATGCATCACATTGGGGCTTATTTGAATCTATATCTGCATTTGAATCTATATCGGCATCATTTTCATACTTGAAATGTAAACACAATAACCTTTAAGTAGATATTTTAATTTGACATTATTTCTTATTTCAAGAAATTTTATTTTTAGCAGATAGACATGTCTGAGTTGACATCTTTTTTTTATTTTTCTTAAAAGTAAAATTAATATCAACTAGCCTACATTGAGAAGTCCTACTAAAGAAAATATGCCTCCCAACAGGAATCAAACCTGTATTCCCTTTCTTCCAACAGAGATATCACTCTTATAACCAAAACTTGCAATTTCCAATTAGGCCATCAGAGACCATCAGTAATAAGAAATAAAGTTGATGGAGTCCTTTTCTATGCTTTATCAACCTTTTGCAGGTTATTTAAAGCCAGAAACTATTTTTAGATTATAAGAATTATGGGGGGAGATAATAAGGATTTAGTCTTACTAATTAACCGATAGCTGGGGGAGATTCATACCATTCCCCAGTGTATTTGCATGAAAGTGAATATAAAGAACACAACTAGAATTAGAACTTGGTTCTCTGATTAACAATTTAGAACCATTATCCAATACACCACCCACACATCCAAACTGACAGCATTTGATATTCCCAAGCAATCACTCAACTTGATATTGACCAGCATCAACATTGCTTAATTTTGGTGATTTTACAGAAACTAAGCCAGAAATGTTGAATATATATATATATGAGAGAGAGATAGAGATATGTGGGTGTCTAGAATTTGCTATATTTATGGGGAAAAGTGCTCAGTATCAGAGACAGAGCAATTGTAGAAAAGGAGAATTGGGACTAGAAATCAACACTGCATGGTGAGTGTCAGTTTCAAACAGCACTCTTCAGGGTTCCTACCATGTGAGGATCAATTTCCTGATATTTATGAATTGGTGAGCAAGGAAATCATGCTCACTATCACCCAATGTTCTGGCAAATAGCAGAAACAAGGAAGAATGTATTGCACCAATTTTCTAAGTAGAAAGAGGTTGATTACCTTGACTTTATCTGATCACTTGAGGCATGAAACTGACAGTCACCATGCACCACATTATATATATATATATATATATATATATATATATATATATGTGAAAATATATAGAAAATAGGAAAGAACTGGTTAGGTAAATAATCCCAAGTTCCTTAGTATTTTAGTTATTATTTTTAAAAAATAGTGCTGGATACAAAAGTTATTATTATTTAGAAACTTAATAATGTGCAGTTTTTCATGGAGTACTAATATGATATACATTGGGTCCACAAATAATGATTTTAAAGCTAGATGGAGGCAGCATAAGTGCTCTTTCAACAATATAAATAAAAGAAATCAGACTATCTAAATATTTTTGGCATCTGAAGGAAATAAATAGGACACCTAAAGTAAAATGTAAAATTATAAACAGGACTAGAACATGTAAAACTTGGGATGACCCATGCCCTTTGTGCCTCCATGAGAAACTGCACATTATTAAGTTTCTAAATAATAATAATCTATTAAACAATAGACATGAGTTAACGGTTTTTTGTCGACATCATCAAATTCATGGTTTGAATAATTAGCTAAAAACAAGCATACAATATAATAACTTTTATAATCCATAGCCCAAATAAATAGTTTAAATACCCTACAAAAAAGATAACCCTTTATGAAGTCGTAAAAAAAACAAATGTGACGACAGTTTTTATATGAACAAATCCCGTTCATAAAGAAATAAAATAAAAAAATAAATAAATCTCCATAGACACGTAAACCAGACTAGGCTAAAACATCTTCCGTTTCAAATTTAGACACCCCCACCTTACCCTGACTAGACATCTATGAAAGTAACCCTATACTGATACTTATTATCAACACCCAACACACGCCTACCCAATTTAAACAATTCGCCCTAGCTGTTACCATGGAAATTTTGATTTCAATTATTAAAACAAGTAAATTTCAGAAATAAGTTATTCCAAAAAAAATTTCGCTTGAAGATGGAACAGAGCTTACTTTAACTCAATTTAATTCAAATAATTATATTGAAGTTTTCGGCTCTTGTTTTGAAACATGAGAACTCTTATGTCGCGAGTTGGAATCATATTTTTAAATAAATAATTAAATATATATATATATATATATATATATATATATATATATAAAGAGAGTGTGGACATAGAAATCAACACTGTATTGAGCACTTTAAAATATAATGTTTAGACATTGGAGTTAACCAACCTTACACTTGTGTGTGTGTGTGTGTGTATATATATATATATATATATATATTACTTCAAACATTATTTTTAGAGGATACCCATATTTGAGTCACTGCAGCATTTATTTTAAACAGTATTTATTTCATCTACTGGCCTACATACTTGAGAAAACTTAATAAAGAAAATATTCCCTCCAGCAGGATTTGAACCTGCGACTCTTTTTGCAGGAGAGACTACCATCTGATCCAGCATGCTTTGACCACTTAGCTACAAAAAGCTCATAATCAAGCAAAGTTCTCTTTTGCCTTTAAGGCATGTTCACTTGTTCAGATTTTTCTAAGAACACATATCTGCTCAATTTTGCATTTTAAACAATATTTCATCAACCAGCCCACGTACTTGAGAAAACTTAAAAGAAAATATTCCCTCTGGTAGGATTTAAACTTATGTCAGCAGGAGGAACCACTGTCTGATCCAGCATGCTTTGACTGCTCAGCTAAGTAGAACTTCACAATCAAGCAAAATTCTATTTTTGCCTTTAAAGTACATTCATTTGCTCAGGTTTTTCTTGGAACATACATCTGCTCATTTTCATATTCAAAAAATAAACAAAGAATTAAGGAAACATAGAAACAATTTTAAAAAATAAAGTTTTTTTTTTTTAATCTGACATATTTTTATTATTTCAAATATAATTTTAAGTAGATCCCATATTTGAGTAGACACTCCATTCATTTTAAAAAGTACTTATCTTGTCTACTGTCCTGCATACTCAAGAAATGTCCAATATATAATCCTAGAATTCCCAAACTTTATGGTCTACCTAAAGCCTGTAAAATAGGCATTTCGATGTTCCCCATTATATCATGTATTGGTGACACATCCCAAAAAATGGCAAAAGCCAGGACAAAATTTTTAACGTCTCTCTTTGGAAAAGTCAGCCTGTTAAATTAAAAATTCAGGAAACCCAGTGAAAGGGTCTAAATGACAGATAAGCACATGGATAGTTTAGGTGTTAATTCTCTTTATATCTATGTCCCTGTTAAGAAATGCTTAAATATTAGAAGAAAATAATCTCTCTATTCAAATATGCCTTTGAATTTCCAGTGTTAAAAACTTGCAAATTATCATTTATACACAAAATAGCCTGATTCTATTTGTAATGTTTGCTTTAATTTCTGACCACTCACTGATCTTTCAATAAAACATTCTTCTGTGTTCCTTCAGGATGTGGGAAATCATGGCTCTCCAGAACTTTCTGTCCCTTGTAGAACTTAGCAATGTCTTTTTGCTGTTATCTCTTAATCCCTGTTCTGCTAATCATTTACACACTTTTTAGATTGGCTATTTGCTGTTTTCATAGAAATTTCAACTGCTTTTCTCTGTTTTTAAGCATAAGTATCATTTTAATTTTACCTAAAACCATGTCATTGCTCACATATTCAGTTTATGGGATTCTCAGTATCCTTCTGTAGAACCAGATTTCTGTTGTTTTAAGGTTCTTCATCATCTATGGGGAGATTGTGTTCACAGCCATAGAGGAGGATTGATATTACATGACAGTTCAGTTTAAATTTACTATCTCTTCTCAGTTTTCTCTACAATACAGTTAATATTACATTTTCCTTTTTCTAATAAGTTGACATTTCAATTTTTTAACTGCTGCACACAGTATGAAAATTAAAACCATTGCTTAATTCTTTTTCAAAAAATGCCAGTTGTAATAACAATAGCTTTTAAAGCAAATTGGTAACAAAATGGCGTGTTGGATATTTTATTTAGTTTTAGGTTTGAATTTTCTTTTTAAGCAGCAAGAGGGTAAAATTCATTATATATATATATATATATATATATATATAGTATAGAAAATTAGGAAGTCAACTGATTCTGCTACCTTGCTTTCAACCTTTTGGTATCTTCAGGCAATGTTGGCCAGTTTTGCTTTATTTTTAAAAATAATAAATTTATGAGTTCTCTCTCTCTCTATATATATATATATATATATATATTATTATAAAAAGAAAATTTCCCAAAAAGAATGAATAAGCAGACAATGTGAGGTGTGGTAGAAGGCGA